CCCCAAAACCCCAAAACCCCAAAACCCCATAATTCTAATATCGTTACTAAAGAGAAAAAATAGGAAATTTGATATGAGTTATTGTTATTAAAGCTAGTAATTTCATCAAGTTTGAGTAAAAATTCTTTATTTGTGATAGAGCGGTTCTCTCATAATCTAATCTCATTATTGCTAGTGTCTTATTCTTCTTGGTCTTTAAGAGACAAAATTGCTTTTTTAAGAAATCTATTAGCCTTTGCTCATTGGCTTGACACCGCCTGCAGGACTGTTTTTATTGCTTCTCATGACTCTGCCGTCTCCAGTGTTGCTAGGATTATTTCCTTGTCTCTTATTACCTCCAGAAACAGATCCAAGTCCTGATTAGCTTCCTATGGTGAGATTACTATCCTTAAAATCAATTTAATTGGCTGATAACAATCCATTTATTCCACCTTGCTTAGAGGCACTCTCCTTTTTAATAGATTATAGCGATTACTAGCACTTCAAGCAGAAATATTTTCCTTCAGGCTTAGTCGTGAGTCCAACACAGGGGAAGTGAAACCACTCATAAGGGCAATTTTTGTTATCACAAGCTATCATATCACCATAAGAGACATTGTTACAGAAACAATAAGTTGGCTCTCTATATACTGAAGAAGCTTTTTATTGATTTGATTACTATCTGCTGGTAGAACTCTAAAGTTAAGAACCCATAATCTATCCTCCAAATGCTCTTAACAGTTCTTGATTCTGCTCATAGCTTACAGGTTCAATCTCTTCATCATCAAACTAATCCATAATCTAGTTTTTAGAGTGAACACCCTATTTATGATTTCGCTTTGGACTTTGCTTTTCCTCTTCTTGGGAATTGTAATCTAAAAGTTATTATAAAGGACTTAAAAACTTACAGCTTATTTCCCCAGAGGATTGATATCCTAATTTATTTGGCTACCCATTGTAATTATACCTATGATTTGGGATAATACAAGTAATGCTTTTCATACTTTTTAATAGCTTTGCTTCGAGGATTAAAGCCTAAAGAATCATTTTTATTTTGAACTAGATGAGTTTTTAATCAAATTAATTAAGTACTTTTGCTGATATATGCATTTCTACCACCTCCATTACCTTGTCTATACATTCCTGTCATCTCATAGTCATCTTCTCCTTGCTTTCTTCCTTTATTATTGTTAGTTACCTAATACTTACCATAACTATTGATGTCATAGCCATCTTTTTTCATTTTATCCTAAATATTGCTCATCTTTCCATTTAACTTGCTGAGGTTCTGCTCTACGTATAAAAATACCTTCCTTGCCAAGTCTAATTTCTCCTGCGACAACCTCTCAATCTCATCATAATTAGCTCTAATCTGATCAATCACTTTTTTCTACTCAGTCTACTATTCCTTCTCATTTTTCTTTTTGGACAAAGAGGCAAAATAGCCTTTAGTTATTCTGTTGTTAGTGTTCTACAGTTCTAACGGAAATCGTTAAAGGCTTGCTATTTTAGTGTATGCTTACATTCTTTCTTGAAGTCTAATTGCCTCATAAGCACAAGGCATCGCCTGATATCTATGGGAAGAGAGTGGATTTCCTGCAAAAATTCCTCAAACTTTGACATAATATATTTAATGTGAGTGTAAATTATATATATATTTCAACTGAGTCCTATATTTCCCAAAATTTACTCTAAATCAGCAGCAATGAAGGATGAAGGGGTTTTGGGGTTTTGGGGTTTTGGGG